TTAGGTGATGCACTCAACATACCCCTTGTGAGCTTTGCTTCCATCATGACATCATATGCCCGCGTGGATTACTTTGCGCTGGGGCACTCTAAGCTAATATAATCATATGATTACATAATTAACCCAGCTGTCTCATTAAGAAAATCAACTGGAATTCAGGGCATAATTAGTCATACAGCAATTAGCATGCTGATGAGCAAAAATGATGAAAATGCCTCTAGATGGGGAGTGTGTTGGGACCACCCATGTCCTCTCTAAAATGTAGGCAAACTCCAGTACAGTTAAAAAGGGTATGGAGGAGAGCAGGACAAAGTAATTTCCTTTTGGAACATATTTCTAAATCCAAAAAAGAGAAGGAGCCTAGCATGAGATGGCAGGCATTATTAAGCCAAAAAGTGTACTACCCCATTAAGCGGATAAGGCAAACGGAGGACAAAGTCTGGATCCTGAATATCCAGAGCCTGTTTTGCAGATGACCAAACTTTCCCTAAAAGCAATGCACACAGGATTTCCATTAAGAAAGAAGTCACGTAGGCATCACCTGCTGGTAACTGAGCATGGAGCCTTCCATATACATAGCATATGCTACACCAGTGAACTATGACCCCCTCCTCTCCAGAATGGGGTCAACCCATTGCCTAGGCTGCACCACTCCAGAGAGATGAGTTCTCACATGACCAAACACTTCTCTACTCTAAGCAAGTCCACGGATGCATAGGGCCGCGTGTCAAGAAGTGTTCTAGCTGGGTTTCTGTGGGGACGGGGAAGATCATCTTTCTGGGCCAAAGGAATCCTGTTTTGTGAGGAAGTCCAACACAAACGGAGCTACTTCCTCTCTAGTTTCACAGGAGGAGACAAGATAAAACATCTGAGCTCTTTAAGAAACTTCATTAGCCAAATGCAAAAGGGTGGGGGTGGGGGCAAGCAGCAAGGAAGTCTGCCATCGTCCCACCTCTTAGACAAATCAGATTGACAAAGACCTCAGAGAATTCAGAGGATTGCACAACTGTTATGAAATCTTAGCTGAGTTTAATAAAGATGTAAGCCTTCAATTTGGTCTGACCGGGCACCACAGCTCCTTTGTTTCTATGTTTTGAAGGGCCTGTGAGCTAAATCAATGTTACCAAAACCATTTAAACACACCTAATGATGTTTTAATGTGAATTGTTAGTTGCCCTCCATTCTCAAGAGGAAATGTGTCAGAGAAATCTTCTTCCTCTCTTATCCGACGTCAGATATTCAGCATAGCTATTTTCACACTGGATGCAGTAGCTCTAAACAATGATGTTGTATTGCGTCTAAATCAGTCTTCCAAGTGCTCTCCCTTCCTGCACTTCTCCCACTCATATTACTTTAAAAATTTAAATCAAACAAAGTGCTCAAATGATAACAACAACAACAATACCATGGAAAATTCATACATTATAACAGCATACACACTGCACCGATATTTAACAGATACTTAGATTTTTGGTTAAAACTTGTATCTGTTATATAACACCAGTGAATGTTTTTACAATTTTGATTGCCTGTGTCTGATATTTCTGAATAACAATAATTTATCTGGCTATATACCCATTACTGTTATTTACTATTAATATTATTGTTATTGGACTATTATTTTTTGTCCCAACCAATGTAACATATTGAGAAGAGAAACACCCTACACGTTGTTTTTTCTCAAAGAATGATGCCAAGAAGCAGTACTTGGCCCCATCTGACTGTGGGAAAAGAGATTTAGTGGGAAACCTATAGCATGTAGACAAAACACCAACCCCACAGTGATGGTTTAATCATATATGTAGTTAATGGTCTCTGTTGAGGCTCTCAGAAATGCACAACTGACTACATAAACAAGTTAGCTGGTTAGTTTACTTATTTAAATTACTGTATTTATATGCTAGTTTTCTCCCCATAGGGGACCCAAGGCAACTCACAACAAGAAACAGATAAACACACAGAACAAATAAACTACAATTTAAAAACTTCCACAGACCCATTCCTGTTAATAAATCATTGCCACCTTGTTTCTTCTTTCTACCTGGCCATGGGGAAATGTACAAATATACAGGACTTACATCTGCATCCTGCGTCAGAGGAAGTGGATTTTGAGACGCAGAAGCTCATACTGAAATAAAACGGTTCGTCTTTGAAGTGTCCAACATTTCCCTTCTTTTATATTTTCTTTTGCTAACATGCCGAGAAAAGCTAACCCAGCTACTTCTTTGGGGATTGCTAACCCACAGTACACGGGGATTCTCATGGCATCAGAGTTTACTTCTCATCTCAGACTGAAGTTGTCGGTATTTAGAGCCCTATCTGAATTTTCTTGGCATGGAACGCCACGACATGCACGGCAAACCGAAGGGCATCCCAGGACCTCTCCTGGAGGCAGGTTCCACTTCTATAGGCATCTCCTTCACAGCACAGATTTGGCAGTGGCCGCTTGGCATGCCGGGAAAGGCAAACCCCAAACCACACCAGGGGTGAGAAAGTGCCATCTCTCCTCCACCGACAAAGAATCAGCAAGCAAGCTGGAAATTCAGGAGTGGAGTTTGCTGACTAGGATTTGGAGGCCCTGCTCAGTATCCCTTCACAGGGATTTTTTTAAAATCAAAGCACAGCTGCTTTTTAGACAGTTAAATACAAAGTATTTCACCTGCACCGGAGGCAGAAGCTTCTACACTTCAGTTGTGTCCACACTGAACTAGGGGACTGCTGCGCTTGTGCCAACGTGGCCCAGGTGGCAAAGAATCCTGCCATCAACCAGGCTGCAAAGTCTTCATGGAATGGCATCGCATGCTAGATGGATGGCACCGTAATGCAACACGGCGGTTTACTCTCTATTTATCTTCTTAAATTCCAATTTGCCAAATGGTCACGTGTTCACTTCCCAGCGGCGGAA